TCTCATGTTTCAGAAGGATCATTTTTTAACGTTTCACATACGTATACATCATTTTTTTTTTTTGGGGGAGCAACTGATGCTGCTGCCGACGGCATCCAAAACCAGTTTGATTTGACAAATGTCTTTGGATCGTCATTTCGCTTCAACTGATTTTTTTTTCTTCCCTCCCTGCTTCCCGTATCGCGTGACAAATCTTGGGGACACTTTGATTGCCGGGCTTTGTCGATCCATCCATCACCACCACAGTATACGAGGTATACGAGCCGCTCTTCCGATCTGTACCGCGAAAAGTATAAAATCGACACGACCCTCATCATCGATCATTCCGCCCGCGCAAAGGAGCACTTTTGCCACGTCACCCTGATATACAATCCGCACACTTTTTTTTCTTACCCCCCGCAGAGAAAATAAACGCGTTGCATCACTGAGATGAGAGTACCTCTGTTTTCATGATGGACAAGGATAATAATAGAGTGTATAAGCTGGGCGACAAACTGAGTAAGCTACGCGGAGTTGATGCTGCTTCCTCCACCCTCTGTTTTTAATTATATACGTATATACACCCGCATGTGCACATCAGGAGTGTCAGCTGGTGCCACGGGCTGCGCGCGCGTCCATTGCCTGTTGATGGTGGCGGTACAGCGATCGATTTTCTTATTTTCCGCTATTTTTTTTTCCCCACCCCCATCATCAACTTATGGGGTTTTTTGGCAGTGGAATGTGTGCGAGGAGGGTGGTGTCTTTTTTTTATTCTTGAAAAAACAAGAGGTGAAAGAGATAATAAGCGGGTTGATGGGATGTGCGTGTGGCGTGGGGATGCGTGGCTCATCTCTCGTCTTCTGCTCGTGTGCGTCGGAAGAATAGGAAGGGGAGGCCTTGAGAGCCGGAAGGGTGAGGCGCTCTTTTTTTTTTTATCGCCGTCACTGACGAGTGGCACTCTCTTTCGGAACCACGTGAATTTTTGTTCTCTTCTCCGCGACGCTTTTGTGCGCGCGGCTGGAGAGATAAATGTCGAGAGATCGCATTATCATAGAATTTTTAACGTAAATCGATTTTACTAGCCTTCGTATCATAATTACTAATCAAAACCACTTGATTTTTTTTTCTGCTGATTTCGATCATCATTTCTTAATCCGTAAAAAATTAACTCGACAATGCTTATCTGATTTTATTGTGTACACGTTGGATTGCTCGATGACTCATGAATGACACGTTGTTTGCAAATAACTATTGAATAATCGGAATCAAAGTACAATAATCGCACAATATTCGCATTCGAAAATATCAAACGTCACCGAGGCTGTAAAATAATATTTCTTTACCATACTTGACAATCCATAAAAACTCTCAATGCACAACGCCTTCAGGTATTTACGGTTAAATATGAATAACGACTATTATCTTTCAAAATCATGGTTATACAGGTCAGCCGCATGTACTTGGATGTATTTCTCTATACCACCAGCGAGAGCATCAGGCCAATGAGATAAGATAGTATAATAATAATAATAATAATAATAATAAAACACGAGGAAAGAGAGGAATAGATAATATTGCTGGAAATGATTGAAAACGCGGAAGTGACTATTATAAATGCAGGCTATTTCGTTGTTATCTCAAACGCGGTAACGCGTATCTAACAGCTTCTCAAAAAAATAAAATGAATTTAAAACCCTTCACACTTCTCTCTCTCTCTCTCTCCGTTACAAATATCCGTTGCTGCTTTTATTCTAATAAAACAAGGCGTTGGATTTCAAATTGAATTCGTGTAATAAATTCGCTAAAAAACAAAATTACATAAAATCACAACTGAAAGCAATTGTTGTTGTATTGAAATAAGGATAACAGCCGCCTGTGGTGGTGCAAACCGCAGTATAACTGCAAACTTTTATCATCATCGATATATTTATTTTCATTACGGTCGCAAATAATAAATACCGTATCCACCTCAGTAATACCCGGAAGAGTTTCAGGAAATTCAATAATCGTGACAAAGCGTGCAAAAAAAAAGTTAAGTACATTTAGTGAAAAAGATTCCGCTTAAACGTTTTCCCGCGCGTCCCATTGATTTTCCTAAGCCACCCCCTCTTCCCCATGGAGACACCCACACACATGTGTACACGGCTCGAGAGTGATCGATTTTTACCCCTACGGCGTTTTTCGGAGGGGGTGTGCTATGTATACGGTGGAGAAACGCCACCACCACCACCACCACTGGAGAGGGCAAGAAATACCGCAGATTACCTTTGTACCGACACCCCTTTTCTGTTTGTATGTTTATTTTGTAGTATTGGCAAATAAGTAGTTATATATTTACTCTTACTAAGTGTATAGCCCTATTAGATTAGTACACTATGATACATAAAAAAAGGTACATTGACTCAGAGAGCGTTTACACGGATGGTTGTCCAGCAGAAATCGGGAGATTTTTACTATTTTTATGAATTCTCTATTCCATTGATATCAAAAACAAACCTTTGGTGCTCTAAATACATTGTATATAATGTGTATAGTCACAGACCAGCTGCTCCAAACATTAATTAGATTATAGGGACAAAAATACATCAACATTGATAAAGTGTAGAAGTTCAGTTTAAAATATATTAATAAGTAGCTCAATCAGTGTGAATAAAAAAAATAGTGTGTTGGTTTATTGCGACCAATCTACCTACGTATTGTAACAACACGATTACAACAAAGAAAGAGTAAGTAAAAAAAGGAGCGTGTGTGCGAGCAGTAGCCTTACTGTTACCCGGCTGCTGCATTAGGAGCTCCAAGTGAGTATAGATACAGAACCCACGAGCGCGAATACCTATTACCTTTCTCGCGCCTAGGATAACGTCAAGTGATACCGTACAAGGAACACTCGCGTGCACTCAGTATCTTGTACATACCTATGCGCTAAAAAAAGACATTCTGTACGGAGGCTTTGGAGCACAAAATATAACGTTGTTTGTATACCTATATGAGCATAAAATATAAACATATCCGCAGCCTCCCAGGTATATGGATACAACCTAATGTATTTATACTTACGTACTGTTATGTCTGCAACTCTGCAGGGTGTTAAGTATACATTTTTTACACTGCTCAAAAAAAAAAAAAAAAAAAAAAAAACAACAATATTTGATGTCAGTTATCGAAACGCAAACAAAGGAACGTCACTACAGGGGAGACGTAATAATATTGGCTCAGCAATGAGAGGTGAGAGGAAGCGTGAGAAAGAAATCAGCTGACAGCGTGTCACGTCGAGGCAACAATAAAATTAACCATCGGGTGAAAAAACAAATGTATCGTTATGGACATGGTAATATATATGGGCACTCACCGAACTTTGAGGCGAGCTTGAGACGCTTGGTGAGCGCTGCACGGTTACGAGGGCCATCCTCGTAATCCTGGCAACGAATCCAGGACTGATGGCTTGTGTCTGCCGACGATATGCTGCTGTTGGCTGCTGTGCTTATTACTATTATTCTACGTTGGTCCAGGAATGACGGTTTCGAAGACGAGGATAAAGACGGCAGGTTAATAAGGACAATGATCGCAGGAAGAGCAGAAGGACAGCAGCCACGCATATAGGTATACACACACGCAAGAACAACAACAACAACAACAATAACAACAATAAAAACTTACACACTACACGCACTCGCGAGAACAACTCGTTGTCGTTGTTGTTTAAAAAGATGCACACACGCAGCAACTGACATACGCGTAACACGAGAGGGTAGGTACCGACCGGGCGAGGTAAAAGCAGCATCAGGAGCACCGCCGGGATGCCATGGATAATTTTTCGCGCACATCGAACGGCATCACGCTCCGGGCGGCCATCTTTGTGTACATACACATACACACACACAAGCGCGAACGCGAACGGAGTTCATCGTGTGTGTGTGCGACGCGATATATTATTGTACACCACGGCACGGCGGCAGGACAGGGTGGAGAACGGGGGGGTCGCGAAGAGGGACACTAAAGATGAATGAGGAAAAGAGACGGAGTGAGACCCACCCAAACTCTGGAACACCTGTTGACATCTAGCGGTTAAAAATCAAACTTGGAACTTAATCTATTTTATGGGTGGTCGATGAGAAAGAATTCGATCTCTGAAGTGGCAATTTATCAATTGTGGTAAGTCGTGTTTGTAGTGAGATAAGCACCATCTAGCGGAGAATATTCGTAGGTCATGTGTCAATTTTATTCAGGATGTGATCGATATTGGAGAATTGGAGCCACTTGGCGAGCACTTGAAAATTTATTTATTAAATTTTGTACTTAATAATTATAACGATTAAAAAATCCAATTCTTGATAATTCTTCGGAATATATTGAGTACGCTATTATCAGCGAAAAACGAATCAAAATACTTAAATCTTTTCAAGAATTGTCTCGATTGTAGAATTGTAGCATGTATGATAGGATTGATTCATACGAAATTCTTGTTTACGTGATTCTTGTGACGAATAGACAGTTTTTTTGATGGTCGTTTTATCATCAGTTTGAATACTTATTCATATTTTCCTTTTCACAACAAAAAGTAATTTAAAGTTTTATTTACAAGTTTGTGTACTGGCAAAAGAGAGCAGAAAAAAATATGTAGGTAAAGTTAGAGTATGTGCACACATGTAACTAAGCAAATATGTGCTTTGTGAATGAGAGGTTTCTTTTGTAACGTGTAATTTTTTTTTATTGTGCAACATCTCAACGACAACTAGTCATCTTTGCCTTTGACGCATTTATTGAATAGTTGGCTACATATGTTTAACTAATGCGTAAAACAGTGTATACTCCTGTAGGTATAACTATATCCTTTTGTTTCTAATGAAAAAGTTAAAATATCTTTTTAAAGTTTAGTTTATACGTGGTATATTCTGTCGATGTCTCGAAAATACATCTAAAACCTTTTGTAGAACAAATCCATGCGATACTTATTGTAATTTGGATGTTTCAAAACAACATTCTTCCAATACCATAACTCACCAGCTAGAGCAATCATACTCAAGAAATAACCCAAGATCAGGGCAACTACAGCTCCTAGAAGCTTATCCAAGTCCACCAGTGCTTTCTGTGCAGTGCCTTCTTGTCGTAGTTCTAATACTTTTGATTGCTGATTTATGTCGCTTAACCACTTTTCCACAAAACCTGCTTCTATTATACGTTTTATCTAAAAAAACAAAAGGATTAAATGATTTTATATGTGCAATTATTATACCAGAGAAGTTACACCAGTTGACACTAACTAATTTATCAACATGACTCTTGAGAGGTGAATGTTTATCCATTCCCAGAGAAATAGGTATGTTTACCACACACTCATCCATAACGTGCAAATTGTGATCTGAAATCTTATGCTTGTTGACATGGGTACCATTTTTCTGCATTTCTGCCTCTAAAATCTGTCTTTTAACTCTTTCACGTTGCAGTACATGGTAATTCTCGTAATAACATAGACTTCCATTGGAAACTGCAGCTATTGCATCGCGTTCATCTGTCACGATAACGTATCTATTGCCTAATCTTTGTAAATTAAAGTCCGAAGAGTTGAGAAAAAAATCTTTTGTTTCATAGTTCCAACTGCCAATGGATACTGAACTTTTAACCAGCTGTGACAAAGTGTCAATGGTAACTCTGGAAATTAAAGACGAAATTGTGTTCTTTGTATTTTGGGTAGTGAAAATTAAAAACAAATGTACCTCTGTACTGAATTAGCAAGAGAAGCAGTCATGCTGGCTCTGTAAGTGACGGCAATCAAAATACTAAATATCCACCACCAACCGATGAATACTCTCAATGACCAAGCGTTGGGTAGTGTCGGCAAGGATACTTGAAGTAGCATACTGTACGTGTATAAAATGCTATTTTGAAATTCAGCAAACAAATGTATGCCTTTCCACTCCTCCACCCTTTTCGGCTGATTTTTAAGGATCTTAAAATTTTTGCAATCTATCACCATTTTCGGGACACGAGCATTTTCACTTGGCATTTCTTGAACTCGTGATACTTTGTGCTTGTAAAAAATGGCAATGACGAAAAACACCAGTCCAGCAAACAACAGCGTCAAAATGACCGCAATCCACGTATACAGCCTAAAAATATAAAATCGAAAGTACATTGTAGTAAGTAAGTTGGTACAGTCGTCAGTTCGTCCACCTGAACGGCAGCACGAGCAATTTCCAGGAATTTCCCGAGAGCGATTCGAGGGTCAAAAACGTCAGACACTCGGTATTGTACGGCCACGACAAGTCCAAAATTTGCAAGTGCTCCCGCGTATAGTACAAATCTCCGAGATAAAAAACTGCGTTGCCTTTCTTGGCCTCGCCGAGGAGTCCCGTCAACGTATCGTTCTTCATGTTACCCCACCTCTCGGTTTTCACGTTTTCGGGCTGATAAAAAACCGGCTTGAAATTCAACGCTTTAGCTATGATCAGCAGCATCTGTAGGCTCACAATGTCATCATCACCATAAACAAGCTTGGTACTTATTCTACACTTGACAAATCAATCATTGTTGATTTCACACCCCCTACCTCGAACTCGATGCCCAACGGTTTGGAATTCAAGCTGACGTTCTTTTGGTCTTCAAAGTAAACCTCCGCGTCCTCCGTAACTGCGGGGATGTGCTCGAAAACCGCTACCCTGTACCACGCCAAAGTGCCCAACCAACAAATTACATTGGCATGAAATACTTATATTGTACGTATCGTTTGACAAACCGTAGCTTTTGCTTCCTGAGATCGTTCGTCTTTGGTGTAAAATGATGGGTCCCATAGCGAAACCTGTTCTGGTACCAGCTGTCGATGTACTTGGTGACCACGAGGCCTTTGGTGCGCGCCGGGTAGGGTATCGTGTTGAGATCGTACCACTCGTGTTTTATCAACTGCCCGTCGGCTCGGCGCTTGTACTCCGCGTAGTGGCGCAGGAAAACCACGTTGACAACACGGTTCCACAGGTAGTGCATCTCCGGGTGGAAGATCCGAAAGTCGTACACGAGCAGGAACTTTGCTTGGGCGTTGATCAGCCTATCTCTAGGGAATCGTTTCGCATCTCATCATCGAGAATTCATTTATTGTCCCGCACAACAACAACAACAGCCCACTTACTCCTCCGTGTACTGTAACAAATTCGCGACTTGCAGTCCATTGCTCATTAAAATGATGTAAATGTTGCAGCCCACGTGCTTGCTCTCCCTCAATATGTTGACCAAGCGTCTTCTGGGAGGATAAAACTCTTCGTTCTCTCTTATCAAGACCTTGCAACGTGACGCGGGGACGAACATGTACGCTTATCATGGACAATTTAAAAAAAAAAAAAAAAAAAAAAAAAATGAAGATTACTCGGATTAAATATACCTACCCTGTACATCGGCAAATAATTGTTGGGCTGCAATTGGTGCAAGTCGACTTTTCTGCGGTAGTAGGAGTCGAGCAGCGACACGATGCACCGGCTCTTTTCAGCAGCTTCCTCGATCAACAATTGAACTAATGTTTTCAGTTGATCGTTTGTTTGGGCATAGAATGATCTATAATATAAACCAATATATAAAAAAACAAATATATATATATATATACATATATATACATTCCATGGGATGAATTGAGTTTTTCAACGACCTTTTGTTGTCGGCAAACGCGTGGCAAATCAGTTGTACGAGTGTCATTTGGAGTAAGTTCATTTTGAGGGGTATACTTTGTTACTGCAATGAGCCAATAAATGCAACTGCGTGTATGGTCGGAAAGGCTGAATTTCAAGTTTCCAGGTCAAACGTCCATCATTTGGGCCGGCCTGCATTTTTCATGCGATTTATTTGCGTTCGAATTGCTTGGGTGCATTTAATTTATTTCATCGGTGTAGTAGTTGACTTTGTTTCGTGAATATAATCTTAAGTTGAAACGAGGAATTTCGATGATTGTGCCCATAGCAAATGAAAATAATAATATTGTATTTCCGTAATATTTGTTTGTTTTTTCAGTGTATCGATAAGACATGAGGAAGATCAATCAAACGTTATCATTTTTATCGATACTAAATCGGCATTTGTGAGTAAAGAAAACCAATGATGCCGATCAGTTGGCACGAAGCTTCCTCTGTATCTGTTCTACTGTTTTTTGTTTCGTACAGTAATAATTGACGTTTACTTCATAATTTTGTAGTTACTTTAATATAAACGTGGACATTTTTTCCAACATATATAAAAGAAAAAGTTTCTTAGGTACTTATAACTGGTTTTACAAAACAATCTTTGGTTTCGTCAAAACAAAATCACTGTGAATCTAAATATACGTTAAAGTTCACGTTTGAGCGCGTAGTTGAAATTTCTGTTTTTTTTATCAAATGCATTACAGTAGTGTCGATAAACATTTAAAAAAAAAAACAGATCATTGCATCGTAAATTATTTCATCTCACCCATTGAACTGTACAAGTTTTTTTTTTCTTTAACGATTGACCCCAAAAGGCGGTAAGGTAAGAGAGTGGATTATTTATGTTACACACTTGTAAACGTGTGAAACATGTGGCAGTCAAGTTTTTTTCATTATATAATTTTCCTATTTGTTTTTTTCCGTGCAAACGTGTTCAGTTCAATAGAACTGGAGAAATACTTGGTACAATATAGATTAGGTTGTTCTTCGAATTCGTGTCGACACTACGTTAATGAATTTTGTAAAAACTGAAATTTAAACTACACTAAAACTTGATATTTTGAACATCGGAAATTCTCAACGACAATTTTAATAAGGTTTCATTATTTACAAAACTTTCATCATTTCCAAGCCGCTATCAGGATGGAAAAATAAAAATTTTAAGCCCTGGAACATTGAAATCGGTCGACGGATTCCTGAGGTACGTGTCGTCTGGTTACTGCACTCTTTTACACGCACAAATGGCCATTGTTTAATAATAATATATTTCCATCTTTGACCCTACAAAAACTGTTTCTCACGTATTTTTTAAGTAAAATAGTAGTTTTCCTACGAGTTTGAAAAGTCTTTGTTTGCGAACCGAAAGGTTTGCGGCCCGAACCGAAGGCGAGGGACGTAACGAGGTTCGTAAAGGAGACTTTTCGAACTCGTAGGAAAACTACTATTTCTACCGATAAAAAAAAAAAAAAAACAACTTGTTCTACGAGTAAGTAAAATGATCGGTGCACTTTTAAATCGATTTCGCAACGGTATTCGGAAAATGAGTATTTCTCACACAGTAGGTATAATAAATAAACAGTAACAATTTTCATTCGAATGAAAGGTTCCCCATTACGTGAAAACTTATTTTCAATACAACGGGAAACGCTTTTCCATACGGTATTGTGAAAAATACTTTACGGGCCATTTCCGCGCGCTTGAATGGTCATGCCTATAACTCACGCAGGTCATTCACCCAACCCTTGCGGGAACTCGACTTGACCGCTCTTTTTTTTTTTTTTTTTTTTTTTTTGAGAGAAACCGATATAATGTTATGTAGAGCAAATGTGGATATATCAGTGCAAGTATCGCGAGGGAATTTGCTATACGTCTCAAAAGCAATCAATAAGATGACAGAAAAGTGCGAGCGAGGAAAATAAAGAAAAAAAAAAATTTCCGACAAAAACTAGATTTGCACTTGAAGCGATCTTAAAAAAAAAAATAGAAGCTCGCGACACAAGAGCGAATACATTAAAAGTAGATGTATACACATATATGCGTGAAGAATTGAAAGATAGCGCGAGGGTATGGGTGTATAATACACACACGTACACGCCAGCCGCCAGCCATGACGAAGCAAAGCACTCGTCGCCCCCCCCGATGATAAACCCGTTCTTTCGTTTGCGCGCACGCACGGACAGACACACCAGCGGGGGTATACTTATAGTTTGTTTTTTTTTACGCGAGAGTTGCAATCATTTAGTCGTAGCGAAGTTGCGGATCGACCAACTCGCAGATCCGAGTAGCGCCGAGGTTTATATCTACTCCACAATAATATTGCGCTGAAACAATTGTACATATATTACGTGCACAATCGTTATACTCTCGTAGGTAGTTACTTTTTTGTTTTGTGTATACATTTCATCGGTATAGTTTGGGTGAAAAAACCGTGACGTTAAGCCATTCCTTGGTTTTTGCTTGAATTTTGTTGTAGGAAGTTCATGCGAACATTTGGCACGTTAACGTCAGCTATGAAGAACATAGTGCGAGATGTGGCAAGGGGTCCCTTGGATGCGTACCGTCGAAAAGCGAGTTTCGATTGGAAAACGCTAAAGTTACACTTGGAAGGCGAGGATTGCATCAAATACCAGGTAATTACTTTTAATTGGCAAACGCGCGCGAATCCTCGTGTACTCATTAAATTTAATTTGTTGCGTGACATTTCTTCTTTTTTTTTTTATTGCAAGAAATTTCGTACAAACGATAGTACAAAATAATCTTCACGCAGAGTAAACACATCCTTGCTAAATAAATAATCGAGGTAATCTTCGGGAGTGAGAGAGGAGAATGTACGCGACGCTGTGTGTGGCTTGCATACGAGCGATACGTGTGTAGTGTCAAGGAAAAAGAAAAAAAAAAAAAAAGAGTCGATCTCTCTGCAAATCTATGAAAAAAAATTCATTTGAAAGTCAATAAATCTACTCTTCGTGGTGCAATATACATATGTATACGTATACTGTCGCGGATTCCTTGCAATATATAGCCACGGTATAGGCCGTCGCGAGAGTTATCTGATAACTTTGTACATAATAAATGTGCATTATATTGAAATTTCTTCGATTTGGCATTGATGCGTCAATAAATACTATATGCATAGGTAATTGAATTTTTTGGTGGGTTTTTTTTTTTTTTTCCCTCCCCACAGAACAAAATATGGAGCTTCATGGAAACGCATCCGGCATTCAAGTATCCCACTGGATCATTGTCCATGGACGAAACCCGGAGGAGATGCAACGCACAAATACACGCACTCATCGATAACGATATGCTTGTAAGTCCCTTTTACCGCACAACATCATACCGATTTTTCTCCCAAAAGTGCATCTTTTTGTTGTTTTCTTGCTCCAGCCCGATCACTCCAAAGGAGGCTGGATAAATTATTTTTTTTACTACGACGCCTCGATACCCATCAAAGTAGGCGTCATGTACGGCATGGTGCCAAACGTATTGATGTCACTGGGCACTGATTACCACTGCGAATGTATCGGAGACATCGTTCAAAGAAAGGTACTCGTATCGTGTATATTTGCAATCACGTCGATTTTCATCCTTTGTAGTATTCATCACTTCTGATCGGCGTTGTAGATCGGCGGGTGTTTCGCGCTAACCGAAATAGGTCACGGCACAAACGTAAAGGGCATGCAAGCGCGGGCGACCTACGATCCAAAGACGGACAGCTTCATCCTGCACACTCCCAGTTTCGAGGCCGCCAAGTGCTGGGCTGGCAATCTAGGTGAGGACTCATTTTATCAAGATTTGCGTGAACAGTACAATTTACATGTACCTTTGTTGTTTTTATTACCATCAAGCCAAATGTGCGACACACGCGGTCGTTTACGCCCAGCTGATAACTCCGGACAACGTCAATCACGGCCTGCATCCGTTTTGGGTGAAGATTCGCGATCCCGACACCTTGTTGCCGCCGAAGAACGTGACTGTGGGTGATCTGGGTGAGAAAATCGCCCTCAACGGAGTCGACAATGGCTTCGTCATGTTCAATCATTACTCGATACCGCGGAATAGTCTGCTGAACAAGACTGCCGATGTGACGCCTGACGGAAAATACGTGGCCGCCATGAAGGATCAGAGCAAGCGTTTCGGTGAGAAGCGTGTCTGTGTGGATGAAAAAAAAAAAAAAAATTAGGCTGTAAAATGTACAATTGTTAATTAAATATGACAATAGGTGCATCCCTGGGAGCCCTGTCTGGTGGTAGGATCACCATCACGTCGATATGTGCGATGAACGCGTGCTTAGCCGTGAGCATTGCAATTAGATATTGCGCCTCGAGAAAACAATTTGGGCCGACTCCGGATGAAGAGTGGCCTGTCATAGAGTACCAAGTACAGGTATGGTTTTTTGTCAAATTAATAGTATGCTGTACAACTCGTGATGATTGAATTTTGAATTTTTAGCAAGGACGATTGATACCGCACTTGGCAGCTTCGTACGCCATGAAAATATTTTCTTCGGATTTCCTCGAGTTGATGACCGACTTTCAAGAGAGATTGATGAGCGGCGAGAAAAGCGACAGAATCAGCGCTATGGGCATGGAAATCCACGCGCTGTCCTCGGCGACGAAGCCTATGTGCGCTTGGACGGCCAGGGATGCCATTCAAGATTGTCGCGAGTCTTGCGGAGGTCATGGTTATTTGAAAGGTCATTGGCATGTAAAATAATTACGCTGCTTTCGAGGCTTTAGATGTATAGAAAAAAAAAAAAAAAAAAAAAAATTGTTTTTGCTTGAAATGCTTTATGTGAATATTTATTGCCTGCTGCAGTGTCTCGATTGGGAATTATCAGACAAGAGCACGATGCAAACTGTACATACGAGGGCGAGAGCAACGTGCTCATACAACAGGCTAGCAACTGGCTTGTGAATCAATACGCCGGTTTTCTTCAGGGCAAGGGTATTAATTCACCACTAAATACGGCCAAATTCTTGGAGGATTCCAATAGGACATTAAAGTTGAAATTCAGCTCGAGTACGATAGACGATGCACTCAGGCCAGACAGTCAGTAGAAATAAATTAAATGTAGGAGTTCTTAAAAACCCTTTTTTTTATGTAGCAGCGTATGTCGTTGGTTTCAGATTTGCTTGTATGTTTGAAGTGGCTCGCATGCTATTACATGCAGAAAACCTACCTAGTCATTCAATCACTGAAAAAAAGCGGCTGCAATGATTTCGAAACGAGAAACGACTCGCAGCTTTTTAATGCCCGAACTTTGACCTTGGTTTATGCAGAGGTAATATACTGAAACACTTTTAAAAAGTCACATTTTTTTCTTCCTTTCTGTAGTTTATACTAAATCGGACGAATCGGTTCTTTCTGTAGCACGCAGTAGTTCAACAGTTCATTGAAAACTGTAACACACCTGCACTCAATGATAGCGAGAGACAAATACTCATCAAACTGTGCTCTTTGTATGCTGCCTGGTGCATTGAAAAGAGGCTGGGTGATTTTTATGCAGGAGGTTTCGCAAGTCCTGATTCGAAAATGGATGATTTAATACGTCAAGGTATAATTCAACTTTGTAAAGTGTTGGTGAATGATGCTGTATCACTAGTCGATGTGATAGCGCCACCTGATTCTATCATCAACTCGCCCCTTGGAATGTCCGATGGAAATGTAAGATATTTTCAATCGAAAATTAAGTACAATCGAGTGTATGTCGGATTTTAATGGATGACTTTTGAAAATGATTCCAGATTTATAAACATTTGGAAGAAGCTATTTACAGGAATCCCGATTGTTTGGAGCGTCCAACATGGTGGAAAGAGATACTCAAGTCAAAAATGTGATGTGATATTTATGGGTTCATGGGATTTTAGAGTAGCACAATTTTATGGTATTTGTTATGTATTTTATAAAAAAGTTTTTTCTTAAATATTGATATATCGCTTATTATATTTTTGTATACATGTATAAACAATAACATTTATAAATAACTATAAAAAAATGTGCTTGTGCATTTTATACATATTATCGACAGTTATGATATGTGCATTTGAACTTTTTGTTCTTATTTGATACAGCCATCGGTTGACTTTCAATTCCTCTTATCATAAAATCTTAGATCATTGCGTTATTAAGATTTCTTCACTTTGTCACAATTACTCGAATTTTCATAACTCTATGCGCTTTCGAGCTTTATTTTTTGAGAACATAACTAAATCAGCATCTTCGAACCATTGTTCATAGACCTCTTCTGGCTCGATCATCCAAAATTTGTGGAAAGAAATCGGTTCTTGAGAGGCAAGATAGGCTTCAGCGTAATCGCTCGGTCTCGCCTGTTGAAATTATACAATAAAATAAATAAAAAATACGTTTGAGTTATTTTTAGGCAAAAAAATATTTTTCAACAATTACTTGATGAAACAGAGGCGAGTTAGTGACTTTAACTCCCAAGTGGGCTAGGCAGACTCCAAATAGAAACATATCATCAGGCGTTGTTTCAACCGGGCAATTGCACACTCCTGGCTTGATAATTTTATGTACAAGAGCAGTAGAAAGAACAACGCCAGCACCACCAGTTAAGTAATCATAGCCGTGAATTTTGGTTGCTCTATATCCATAACGCTCACCTATTGCTACAGAGTTTTCTGGATTGTAACATGTTAATAGTTGAAATAGTCGGGATAAACTAAAAATGTTTTTTTTTTATATTAGTTACACAAATCAAATTCAAAATAAACCATCAACAATTTCACATGTACCTCAATATGGTATCGTCATCGACAATTAGCAACCAATCTAATTTTCTTTCATCCAGAATAGGAGCTACATATTTTAAAATTGCAAAGGTCTTTGCACAATGACCCTGATCAGTCTTGGGAACTACGATTCCATCCCTTAAATTTTCATCTGAAGAATAATAAATTTTTTAAGTTTGCTACAATAATTGCAAAGATACAAATATTTACATCATACCTAATTGGTCAGTAAAAAATCCTGCATGTTCTGCATGCCTTATCCATAATTTGCGAATAATATCAAGCCTTTCTTTATGAAACTTGGTACAAGTCTTAACTGCCACATAAACGTTTTGTTTAGCTGATAGTTTATCCTGAAACCCAAACGTGAGAAATTATTGAAAAAAAAAAAAAAAAAGGAACTGGTAATGTACAACGATAATTAGTGCTACGATGTTAAAAAAAAAGAAAAATGCTCACACATGGATAAAAAGGCCTAGGATAGGTGGCACAATCTTCAGTAGCAACGATACAGAATGCTGGCAAATGCGTTAAACGAGCACTTTTGCTCTCATTAAAAACAAATTTAGAAAATTCGTATGAAACATCAACTGAGAAGTCTATACTGTTGACCGTACCATCACCAGCTTTCTTAACTAAACTGAAATATTTACAGATTTATGGAAAACTGTATAGTAAAAAACACAAAAGAGAATGTTGAATGAAAAATATTGACCTGTTAAACAAATGTTTCGATATTGCAAAACCTGATTGTAGATTTGGGTATTTGAACTTTTTTGAATGTTCTGCAAAGTGATGTATTATCGTAGGTTCTTTGTCATACAAAGAATGTCCAACCCACAAATTCTAAGAAACAAGTAAACTTATGAGTAAAAAATAAACTTAGTTACAACAATAATGTCTTGCATCTTACCCTATAAATATCTACATCGTATTGGCCCAGTGCTTTCAGTAATTTACTTAATCTTACAACTGTATTTTCAGTGCAAAAAACATACCATTGTGCAGTAACATTGATGCTAGCTAAATATGGAATTAATGGTACAATGGTCCATGATCCAAAGACATCCAAGTCATGAGTTAAAATAATCTTATGTGGAACCTAAACAAAGAATTTTGTTTAAATAATATCTAATAAATTAATTAAATGTAGATAGTATTTACAAATTGTATCTGAAACGAGATAAATTAGTTCATTTCAAAGCAAAACTTAAAATAGACAGCCAACATTTTTGAAAGAGTCAATTCAACTTTTTCAGCACTGAGACTGTGTAATTGGCTATGTGAATAAAACAATTTAAATCTATATGTACTTTATCTAAAACACTTGATTGTTTTATTAAATCAGTCTCTAATAATTGAGCTTGAGCCGCATTGTAGCTTTCTTCTTGACTTAAAATAATAAATACCAGATCAGAAGGTTCTGTAAGAATGAAAAAAATATTAATTGTTTGTATTATTTTCATTTAAAGTTTTCTGGAAAGGTAAAAACTCACCCAACGCTATAATTGAAGAAATTGAAAAAAATATCAAAGTAACTAAGATCCTTAACTTGAGGAACATTTCTATTACTCCACTACCTGTCAACATAATAATTAAAATATTGAAATAATTTTAGCTGATTTTAACCAATTGAGGTAAAAACTTGAAATAGTTCTATTATTGATAAAAGTTTAGTCATTTTATCAATGTACTTACTTATCGCTAAAGAGAAAACTGTGTGAAAATTTCATCAATCACATTTTGTTGTTTTCATTTCTCATTCCAACGAAAATCGATCACTATCTCTCATTTTATCCATATAGACAAGCACAGCAAAGATTTTAGATAAGTCATCTAAGCCATCTCAAACACATGCTCAAATTTTAAGTCGTCACGAAAAAATTGGTTAAAAAATATAACACAAACTTACTTAGACTTTCAACAACATTTTTAGCATCTCGTTTTTCAATAGATAATGTCAATTTTTGGGTCAAAGATAAATTGTACATTTGGCGCAAATACTTAGCACAGAGAATGTCAACTTTTCATTGTCAATCTGTAAGAGTAGTTGCGGCTGGTTTATAATTGATTAAATGGCTCTAATATATAAGAAGTAATAATTATTTGGATCAGCGCCATCTAGCGTTGCGAATTTCTGAACTAAAAAGTGGCCCTAAACTTTTGAACCAGAGCTTTAGCGAGTAGAGCCATTTAGTCAGTTATAAACCAGCCGCAACTCATGACGAAGCTATAAAATAAAAAAATAACGGTACATGTGTTTTTGGCGGCAAGTTAACAATCTATTTTTTACCAAAAAATCGGCTTCCTATGTGTTTATACTTTTAAAGATAAATTTTCGAGTATAAGATAGATTGTTAGCTTGCCGCCAAAAACACATGTATCGTTATTTTTTTGTTTTATAGCTTAATTGTGAGTTGCGGCTGGTTTATAACTGACTAAATATCTCTAAGCCTGATTGCTCTGTTTCAGAATTTTAGGAGCCACTTTTGGCCAAAAAATGAAGACCGCTAGATGGCGCTGATCCAAATAACTATTACTACTTATAGTAGAGCCATTTTATTAATTATAAACCAGCCGCAACTAATGTTATAGATGAACAATAAAAAGTTAAAAAATTTTGTGCTATTTGCGGCTAGTTTACAATTTATCTTTTATCCGAAAATTGACCTCCAAAAGTATAGATATTCAAATGATTAATTAATAAAATCGACCATACGGCACTACTTAGTAGTGTTTACTATAATTTCTACACATAACTTCACGTACATCTTACACCGTGCTCTCTTTACCAAAATGATAAAATCAGAGGCTGTATTCCGCAAATGCTGCCAGCAGTTAAGTTACGTAGGTCCGGTAGGTCGTTGTAACGCCGCATGGGCGGGCGGCGCTAGCGTCAACCTGTACTGTAAACTGCACGTGCACACTGTGCGCGCTTTCGTCACCTTTCGTATAGTTTCGTGCACTCGTACTCGTACGTGTGTTTGTGCACTCGCATGTGTTTTTGTGCACTTATACTTGTTCTTGTGTGCTTATGCTTAACTGCTACTGCTTATGCGTTTTTATGCAGATGTCGTGACTGGGCTTCCGTATTCGTCGCCATCTCAGCGACGAGATCGAAATTGAGCAACATTTACTATAGTCCTTAGACAGCAGTTCTGAAGGCTGCCTCTAGTGGCCCAGCCTGTTGCGTGTGTGCGTATCATCCGCATACGCGCGTACTCTACTGCGCCATCCGCTGATTCTCCTCTAGGTGAAAACCATCCGGACATATCTATCGCCCCCGGGAGCCCAGGTCCCGAGAGTTGCAGGTAACCTCACCTTTGTAGCGCCCTCAACTACACACGCATAACGTATACCCTGCAGAGATTAACTAGTGCGTAAAAAAGTTTACAAAACATACACCCAGTGGTGTGCCTGCGATCTCTGCATACTCTGCAGGAGGAGAGAGGAGCGGTGTGTCGCGGCTCTCGCGGCGCAGCGCAGTTTAATCCTTCTCCGAGTTAAATTCATCGACGATCCGATTGAGGTTTCGTTGTTATTGTCCACCTGTCAATTGAAACATGGCTTACTGAAGAAAATGAAGTCTCTGCAGCAAAATTACGTTTCTCCGTTTGGAGGGGATAGCCTCATAAACGACAGCGCCTTCGTCGAGGAGCGCGGCCTCCTTGCCGCGGCTACCTCAGCAGCCGAATTTGACAACCAGCGTAACCCAAGATCGTTATCAGCAGCTTTACTCGTCGTCTCTTCCTCATTGCTTAGTTATAATGGACAAGAAGTATCAGCAGCCTTTCAACTCAAAGGGCCAGGCTACTGACTCGAAGAAAAGTCAAGGTGAGTTGGATTACATACATACACATTTATACATATATCAAACTGATATGTTACATCTATAGTTGTGTGTTCACACATGTATAGATAGTTCAATTGTTGTTCGAATTGTTATTTACGCTGTCATCATCTCTCGCAATGTCGTATGACGTTGTTTTTGTTGTTTTTAACAAAGTCAACACATAAATTAGATACTTACTTTTCGGTCCCTACATTTGATACCTACCTTATCCGTACAGTTGCATATGTGCCAGAAAACTCGAGAGCTTTGACAATGTGTCGTAGAATTCTTTGCTACCCTTCATAACTCTGTCTACGCTCAAATATTAACACTTTTTTTAGATTTTTAATATCCTTGGTTTAGTTTTTTTCACCCTAATCAGAAAGTACCGGCTGTATCACCGTGACCTATGACCTGCAAGTGCGATTTTTTTATCTATCTTAGAAAGTGTGTGACGCAAGTTGTTTTGTTGTTAGCTTATACATTATGCATATGCTTTGAATAGAACAAAAGAAAAAATAAGATACTATTGAATACTTCGAATTAGTATAGTTTGTTCAGATGCATAGTGAACGTGTATCCAATCATGACGTCAGACGATTTGCAAGATGATTTGTGCAGAGGTGCTGGCTTGGTATATGTTTGTAATTTAATAGGTTAATAAGAAGGAAGTGAGGAAACAAATATTTTTATACCAGTAAAAGAAAAAATTGTTTTAAAAATATACACAAAATTCTACTGTACATGGTTTAATTATTTTTCAAAGTTTATTGGAAGAACTTGTCAGACCTGAAAATTATTTATAATTATTTTACAAATTCTTTTTACTTAAATCTTTGTCTGATTTAATATCAAAATTATATGGATGTACATGGAAAAAGCATTTTAATCCATCAATTTCTTAGCACATAGAAATATGAAACTGCTTTCATATCATATACATTAATACTTGATGCTTTGATGATTAGTGCATTTTAAAATAGTATATTCTTATATCACATTACATTACTATTGAATTCCATTAATCGGACAATAAAAAAATAATGTAAGCCAACTTTTACGTTTTAGACCTTGGTGCAAAACAACTCCCAAAGTCATCTCGCAGGCGTGAACCACCTAGAGCAAGTAATTTTTCAAAAAATGATCAGCCAAGGAAGTCCAATACACAGAAAACAAAAGTTTTTGATAAGAGACCAAAACCCAAAGGACAGTATTATGACGGTCCAAAGGAGGAATCCAAGGTTAAAACATTTATAATTAGTACACAATATTGATGTCTTGAAACATTGTAAATTAAATTTTTCCACTATCTAAAACTTTCTAGTTTTAGGTAGCTGATACTGAAGCTGAGCTTGGCTCAGTTATGGTTCAAGGTAGTAAAAAGCAGAATAAAAATGGAAATCATCTGCTGAATTTTAAATTAGCTCCTCGTCACACTTTAGGAGGATCAAATAGCTACAATGTCCACTACTACAACCGCTGGCACTCGTATGCTCAGCGCCACAAATATGATAAAGATCAATTTTTACAGGCAAAGTAGGTTTATATTTTTTATTTTTCTGTTATAACTCGGTGGTCATTATATGTAAATAACTGTAAAATGTTCAAAAGTACTTGTTTTTATTTAAATTTTTGTTGCTTAACAGCTGCCAATTTGTCGTAACTGCCAATGGAGACTATTCTCAATATTTAATCAACGAAGAAAATAATGTTGATAAACTGATCGATTGGGAATTAATTCAACAAATCGTAAGTCTGGATGAAATTTTACTTTATTATAGTTTTCAAAGCATGTATTAAACCTTTAAGGTTTTATTTGTTATTTAGAGAATACAAAGTTCCGAGAACTTATCTTGCCCGATTTGCTTGTATCCTCCTGTTGCTGCAAAGATGACACGATGTGGTCATGTATACTGCTGGCCATGTATTCTTAAATATTTATCACTGTCTGAAGAACCTGGTCCTAAATGCCCTGTTTGTTACTACTCTGTTTATAAAGCTGGTTTAAAAAGGTATGATCCATATCAGGCTTATAAAAAAAGTTTACTTGATTCTTACTCAAAGTGCTATATTGAACATCTAGTGTAAAAATTATAATTAATGAAGATACTCTCAATATTGGAAATGAAATAACCCTTCGTTTAATGCGTCGTGAAAAAAAATCATTAATTTCAATGCCAGTTGGTGATACTGAGATTCCAGTACCAGCTCAGTTTTTATCAATTTCTGAAAAGTCTTGCAAAGAAGCTTATTCAAAATTACTTCTAGCTCAAGAAAAAGATGTAAGTTTTTGAACCTTTTTAAATATTTTTATTTTTTGTTGAACATTTACTATTTTACTCATTTCATTTAATTTAGATCGAAGACATTATAAATTTAGAACAAGAAGAATTAGAGAACGAATTGTCTATTGAAAAAAATTTGTATCCTGACTCGCATACTATACCTTTTATTGAACAAGGTTTGAATGAGTTAAAAGATCGTAAAGAACTCATAAAGGTATGTAATGGTATTTTAAAATTTATTTATTTTTTTTTTTTAATTATAATCAGATACTATTTATTGCATATGCCTTACATTCAGACTATTTATCGAAATGAGAATAAGTTTCGTAAACTTGCAATCAATGAACTTGCAAGCGATTGTGAAAATCAAGAAAATTTATGCAAGAACGCCGAAAGTGAATTTAAAGTCGGAGAAAAGGATTTTTATAACGAATATGCCTCTTCTTCTGATCCCGAAATTGCAGAACCTCCTAAATATCATTACTTTTACCAAGGTAATATTTATAGCACTGCCAAACAATTCATCCCCTTTTTATTAGTTAATATAAATTAAAATCTCTTTTTATTTACTTTTTGTAGCTGAGACTGGCCAAAATGTCTATCTTTTGGCTATGAATGTGAAGATGTTAGAGATGCAGTATGGTAGCTTGGAAAAAAGTCCTTTAAAAATATCCGGCACTCTCCTGCAAAGAGAAGTGGGTAGCATCGATGAAGAAAGAAGAGGTAAAATGCGCTATCTTGCTCATTTACCAGTTACGAGCCAGTTTGAGTTTGTAGAGATAGACTTGGGATCATTTGTTTCCGACGAAGTTTTAAGATCTTTCCAAAGTTAGTAATGATAAATTTTTTATTTAATTTCATAACGTGATCCACTTTTAACAGTTAACATTTTCAACACATTGTAATCAGGTCAAATAAATTCTCGTCAGTCCAAAAGAAAGAAGCAGGAACGACAAGAGCGTAGACGCGAAAAAAAAATTACTGAAGAGGAGAATATAAAGATCATGGGCAAATATCCATCTGCCAATGTGCACATCGATTCGCGCAAACATTTTCCTCAATTTCAACCTGAGTCTGAACTAGACGAGTGAGTCTTATCCTTTTCAATTATAACTCTAAATTGTTTCTTCTTTGAAAAAATTAACATTTTTCTCTGTTAGGTACATACCATCGTCCCAAGCGGAATCAATTGCTTCAAGCCTTGCAGGCAGCCCATCAACAAACAATTCTTTTGATGAACTCATGGCTGCAGCTGGAGGAGAAATTAACAGCTGGTCATCACTTAACAGTCGAAGCCAATCTTTTGCACAAATGCTACAAAACAGCGGACCACGAAAATCTTTTACTTGGTCGCCACTGAACACTTCTGCAAGAAAGTCGCAAGTTGGATCATTGTCAATTAACACTCAACCAGAAGTCAGCGCCGATCCTGATATGGAAGAGTACTTACCTCCGACTTTTAATCAAAGTTTGAGTGACGCTGTTGTACGAGCCCTTGAAAATAAAGATTTGATGAGCCAAGATGGTGCAGGGAATGATGGCACTCCAGGCAAAAAGAAAAAAAAGAAGTCAAAAGCAACCGTATTGTTCGCCACTAATATGGCTAGGGCATCTTAATTTTTATTAAAAATAATTTGGATATTCTATTCGCAATTTTTTATTTTTTAAAATTTTACTGATGCTTTATTCCGAAAGATTTTCTGAATTTATTGACTTGAACACGATTACTATGCAAGGTTATTATCATATTATTTGACTTACTTTGTTTATGATAAATTTAAGTAAAAGTGCATTGCCAAATGAAACTTTCGTTGTTATTTTAAACCTAATGCAATAATTATACCTGTATTATTATACTATTGGAGCACCAGCTTTATCTGGAACGCCACCAAGGCAAGACAAGCATACCACCTCTACGCCAGCTGTGCTTTGATACATAAATGTGACGATGGGGTTGCACAGCTTTTAACTCTGAAGTTTTGGAATTTTGCCAAGTAGTCACATGCACTGCAAAGATTGTCCCAAAAATGGGCACACTACTTATAAGAGTTACTCACAGCGAGTCTGCGGATATGTAGCTCGAAATCTTTTTATCTTAAAGCCTGATGTGTATCAGAGCTCTCCTCACTGTAGCATAAGATTTTTTTCGTAATCTTATATTTTGTGAACATACTATCTTTTCACAGAACGGTATTTAATTTGTTTTAAATAAAAAAACAAGTAATCTTCGTTTAATGAAAATATATTTTCGTTTTCTTTCATTGGAGTTTATTCATGAATAACTTGAACATTCGATACATTAGTAATGCTGTAACAAGATAGGATACAAAAGTCGGAATTACTTTTTACTTAATGTAAATGTGTAAAAACCGCATCACTGTGCAGACCATTATTTAGTTTTAATTATTACGATAGTGATGCGGTTTTTACACATTTACATTAAGTAAAAAGTAATTCCGACTTTTGTATCCTATCTTGTTACAGCATTACTAATGAATCGAATGTTCAAGTTATTCATGAATAGACTCCAATGAAAGTGCAGAGACCATTATTTAGTTTTAATTATTACGATAATAAAAAGATCTGAGGTTATTTAAATGAATTATCTGTATTTATTGTTGAAGTAACATTAATCTACTTTAATCAACTTCTTCAATGGTTGGGCCACCAGCGCCACCGGCACCTGGGGCACCACCACCTGGAGCACCAGCTGCACCTGGGAAACCGCCAGGCATACCTCCGGGCATACCACCTGCCCCAGCTGTGCCTTGGTACATCTTTGTAACGATGGGGTTGCAGACGGCTTCAAGCTCTTTTTGCCTGTGTTCGAACTCCTCTTTGTCGGCAAGCTGGTTTTGGTCGAGCCACTTGATGATTTCGTTACATTTGTCGAGAACGACTTGCTTGTCAGTGGCGCTGATCTTGTCCTTGATTTTCTCGTCTTCTACGGCGCTCTTCATGTTGAAGCAATAAGACTCAAGCCCGTTCTTGGCGGAAATGGTTTCTTTCTGCTTCTCGTCTTCGCTGCGGTATTTTTCAGCTTCGTTAACCATGCGCTCGATGTCTTCCTTGCTGAGACGTCCTTTGTCGTTTGTGATGGTGATCTTGTTCTCCTTGCCCGTCGATTTGTCAACAGCAGAGACGTTGAGGATACCGTTGGCGTCAATATCAAAGGTGACTTCGATTTGTGGTACACCACGAGGAGCAGGAGGAATTCCGCTAAGCTCGAACTTTCCAAGCAAGTTGTTATCTTTAGTCATAGCTCGCTCACCTTCGTAGACCTGTGGAGATAAAATTTCAAAATTAATTTACTTGTATTAGATGAAAAAGACTCAAGTTGCAGTTTGATCAATTAAAGATACTTGCCTGAATCAATACACCTGGCTGGTTATCGGCGTAGGTGGTGAACGTTTGGGTCTGCTTAGTAGGAATAGTGGTGTTCCTCTTGATGAGCGCAGTCATGACACCGCCAGCAGTTTCAATACCCAGAGAGAGGGGAGTGACATCAAGGAGCAGAAGATCTTGAACCTCTTCAGACTTGTCTCCGTGAAGGATGGCAGCCTGTACGGCAGCTCCGTATGCAACGGCCTCGTCGGGGTTGATGGACTTGTTAAGCTCTTTGCCGTTGAAGAAGTCCTGGAGGAGCTTCTGTACTTTGGGGATACGGGTGGAGCCTCCAACGAGGACGATATCGTGAATCTGGGCCTTGTCCATCTTGGCGTCACGTAGGGACTTCTCGACTGGTTCGAGAGTACCGCGGAAGAGATCAGCACAGAGTTCCTCGAATCGGGCTCGCGTGATGCTGGTATAGTAGTCAATGCCTTCATACAGCGAGTCGATCTCGATGCTGGCCTGGGTCGAGGAGGAAAGAGTACGCTTGGCGCGCTCGCAGCTCGTGCGCAGACGACGTAGGGCACGCTTGTTGGCAGTGAGGTCTTTCTTGTACTTGCGCTTGAACTCCTGTACGAAATGGTTGACCATCCTGTTGAAAGGGAGTGTTTTGTTATAAATGATTTGCTTATGTGTGTGCGTAACGAGCTCCAAGCCCAACTTTTTGCTATTGATTATTTATAAATATTTTCTGGCTATTTAAAACATCACAAACATATTACCTATTATCGAAGTCCTCTCCACCGAGATGCGTATCGCCAGCCGTGGACTTGACTTCAAAGATGCCATCCTCGATGGTAAGGATGGAAACATCGAACGTGCCACCCCCGAGATCGAAAATGAGCACGTTGCGCTCGCCTTGGGCCTTCTTGTCGAGACCGTAGGCGATTGCAGCGGCCGTGGGTTCGTTGATGATACGCAGCACGTTCAAGCCGGAGATGGTACCGGCGTCCTTCGTTGCCTGACGCTGTGAGTCGTTGAAGTAGGCTGGCACGGTGATCACGGCATTAGTGACAGTCAGGCCAAGGTAGGCCTCGGCCGTTTCCTTCATCTTCACCAAGACCATCGAGCTCACCTCTTCCGGGAAGAATGACTTCGTTTCACCTTTGTACTGAACTTGAATTTTGGGCTTTCCGGCATCACTGATGACTGTGAATGGCCAGTGCTTCATGTCAGCTTGGACTGGAGGATCGTCAAAACGACGTCCAATCAATCGCTTGGCATCTGAAGTAAAAAGTATGAATCATGTATTAAAATTATATTCAAGATGAAATGATACTTTACTTGTAGATATTATAAAACAGGGTTAGTTACAATTATTTTAAACACATTTATAAAATATATGAAGCTACTTTAGTTGAATAGACATGGACAAATCATTTAAGAATGTTGGCAAGTAAAATTTAAGCATCTCGGTGGCATATCAAATAAAAGTTACTTAATTTGTAATTTTAAATATTTGCAATTTTTGTTCAAGGCAGAATAAATAATTTATTGTACATTGTAGGATTGAGACGATTTTGGTAGCTACATGGCATTTTTATGACGAAGGACAAAGCCTTATCGATCAGTGTACGGACGGCTATTTAAAAATGAAAAAACTCACGCTCAAGGCATGAGTCATCATTAAGCGCACGCCCCCCGTCTTTACAACACATTCCTATTAAGGCTTGATAGGCCTTGAATGAAGCAAATTCTCAACGTACGATTAAAATAGGTGGGCAGTTTTGAGGACAAAGAGGACATTAGGAAAAGATATTTACCGAAGATGGTGTTGTTGGGGTTCATCGCCACCTGGTTTTTGGCGGCATCACCGATGAGACGCTCAGTGTCTGTGAAGGCCACATAACTGGGCGTCGTGCGGTTACCCTGGTCATTAGCTATGATTTCGACCTTTCCATGCTGGAACACTCCGACGCAGGAGTAGGTAGTTCCCAAATCAATACCAATTGCTGGTGCCTTTGCCATTTTTGCTGCTTAACCTGTAAGATAAAAAAAGCATAAGTGATTCACATGCTGATGGAAAACCGTTATTTTATCTTTGGCGAAGATTAAAAAATTTGCAATTTCAACATGAGTTTTATCATCGCGTTGAGGTCATGTGTTGCGTCAAACGAGTAAAGGAAATAAAACTGCATAAGTAACGAACGAACGTGCAACCAATTATGTCCGACGAAATGATATTGGCCTCGTGCGTCACTGGAATTTTTTCACATTAATTTGCTTCTAAAATAAATTATTACACCAGCAGCCAGAAACAGTCCAAAACTAATTAGATAGATATTCGCGAATTTCGTAGCTATTTACAGTTACATAAAAGAACAAAATGATGAAATTAGCAATTTAACAAAAAAAAAAAAAAAAAACCTAGCGACAGGAAAATGTCGGCCACGATTTCACCTTAACCTCACACAATGGACGAACGAGAAATTGACCACCGCACGTGAAAACGACAACCACGCACGAGTATTTAGCACTGTTTGTCATAAAAATACTTCTTTAGTTCCCCAGTTAACAAAAAAACTTGGATAATTATTTGGGCACTTAGTGAATAAATATTTACCTTTTGTATAAACGTAGAACGTATAGAAGAAGATACGAAGAAGTTTCCTCGTCAACGATCGCAACGTGAGTGATGCTACGAGTCAGGTTGTAGTTCTATATATGCCCTTCGGTAGAGACGCTTCTGGAAAATTCGAGTCAGTGACGCGAGTGGCGCAAGTAACGCTCACTCTGATTGGCTGATTCCACGTGTGTGTAATACTGTAGTCATGGTGTACAACTGCACGAGTCAAGTTCTGTGCTCTTCACATATCCTGCCCCCGCCCCCACTTTTGGACTGGTAGGTACCTGGGAACCTCGTGGCTGGACTGAAAAAATTGAACCTGTAGGTGCTTGCGGCATCATCTACGAGGTAATATTCAGGGCAAAGTGAATTTTTGCATCATATTCGACTGTAAGGTATAATAAAAGGTGGCGAGGCCACGCGGGGGCCGGAAGTAGGAAGTGAGCGGGCTTGGACTCAAAAAAGGAGAAAATTCACCGCCACACGCGGTGTCTCCAGCCAGCACCAACAGCTGCTTCTGGGGATGGAGAGTGTGTAAGTTATATGTGTGTTTCAAACGAAGAGCAACGTTTTTTTGCTCTTTCTCGCTTGCACACTTTTGCGTATGTTCATTGTTCACCCAGCGTGTTGATGCATAAAGAAAAGTAATAAGTATGTAATTTTGAAAAAAAAAAAAAATGAGATGACACCTCTCTTCTTCCCATTTTGTTTTATAGAAAAATGGTGTTAACAGTTGTTTCGTTCTAGAAATTTCATCTGTCGACCAGTGGACGACGTCGGGCCAGGTGATTCATTTCTGATGGTTTTCCCAGCATAAATTGGCTTACATAAAAAAAAAAACATTGAATTTTTTATTTACAGGTACTAAATAATGTGGTGCTACACAACATATATATAGCTATACCGTTTCACATACGTATAACCTTTTCAAACAATTGTCTGTAATTTTATTACTCATTTCTGTGCCTGAGGTCAATACTTAAAAATATAACGATTTCGTTGTACTTCTACTTTCGGAAATTAAATCAGTGAGTGCGTACGTACATAACTAACAATTTTTTAATTCTTTAAAAATTAAATTATAGGTATAACAATGACAAACAGGAGCACAACATACATTATTGCTTGAGCTCACATTATTTCTATTAAACTCTTATTTATAACATCTTAACAATACAGCACCGCTAGCAGCAACGATACAGTCAAATAAACGTGTATTAAGCTCAATGAAAAGGAAGATAAAAAAAGGATGAGTGTAAGTTGGCATTGTTCGCTGCTGCGGTTTTTGCGTGTGCCGCACTTTCTTTCGCAGTATTGTTGAAATTATTAATTTGATGTAAAAGTTTCATCGAGCGACGCGTTGCAGTTACTATTCTTTACAATATACATCGCTGCATACTTTTTTAATTAATATACATGAGCATAAATACATATTTACATTCGTATGAGGAAAGTATATATTACATAAGTATGCATGCATCATGTGATCTCGACGTAGGTACTGCAGTTCAAAAAGTAAAATTGATCGATTTTCACTTTGTTCTACATTGAGTAACTAGTGAATCTATAATGTAATGTTCGCTTCGAAAAGTTGCTTACGCATAATGACATCTTATTATCTAATTTAGTTTGAAAAATAATAATAATCAACCTAATTTACTGATTAAGAGAGCGATATTACACATACGATTAAAAAAAATGTATATTTTACACCCAATGCAGTTCGGCAGGCATAATCTTTTTTGGCAACGTAGTAATTGACCACCAGTAATACGAAAATGTTTTTAAAAATTGCTAGCTTTTACTTACACTGCGGAAAGCGAAATTTTTTTTCTGTCCCGACAATATACTCGATCTAGCACAGACAAATACGTGTCAAACGACTATAATTTCATATTTTTGCACTTTTTTTTTTGTTATGTGTTGGTTTGCACTTGCCATTATTTGAGTGTCAGCTGCGCAGAAAGGATAGACTTATTGAGATTTTTTTTACGTAAATGAGTGCTCTTCTCAATTCAAAAGAAAAAAAATACGTTGATACTTAAAAAGGTTTATGTAGTATGAAATAAGGATTTGTAAATTTACGTAAAAAAGGAACGGTACTCTTCTTCTGCAGCTGCTATATACCTTGGGTTTCTTTTTTTACAGAAGTGGTATCCACACGACATTTAAGTACCTTAATTTGCCAGAAATGCATTTTTCTTCAGAAATTTGAATAACTAAAATTTATTTGAATTGACAGTGTCTCTTTTTACATAGAACAATAACGGTAAACTACAAAGCCTTTCAAAAAATATTCTTATCTATGAACGCCAGTTCCGCTATTTAATTATCACTTCAGTTCATGCGGTTGCCAAATACAGACTTTCACTAATTATTGAATGTGTCGTGTATATGTATACGTATAAGTATAAAATTCAACAGTAGACTTTTTTTTAAATGATGATAATTTATGCCATGAGCTCGAGATCGTGTTACTTTTATTAATGCACGAACGTCGTTTTTTTCATACATATTTTATTAGAGCGCGTGAAATGTCTCATAGGCGATAAATCGCGAAATAAGGGATTCAAGGTGAGCTAAATTGTTGTTCTACTGTTTAAAAAAGATGTAAAAATTTATCAAATGTCTCAAAAGTTTGCCATTTATTTCTTCGTGACCTTATGTTTTTGGGTAGTTTTGCTTGTTATTAAGGGGACAAAAAATTTTCTCAGTAATCAGAATTCCTGTCAACATCGCAGCAAAGGTAAAATAAAACTTTTACGCATTCCAGATCATCAGCTTGACAACTATATCGGTTTTGTACGGAAAAACAAAAATAATCTGAAAAGTCGCGTATACATGTATATTTATATACTCGTACATGTCCATAAAAAACGCAGTGCGCGCGAATGATTCATCCCAAAGTTAATTTTATTTACCTCGAAAACTGTCCTCGTATCCGAGCTCGTACCCATACAATCGCTTTATATTGGGTTGCTCGTGCGCACATACCTATGCACGCATACGTATTTTATTGTCTCAAGGAAACTCAAGTTTCATGCAAAATCAATGTCGGCCCGCCATTTGTGGATATGTGCGTGGGTGACTGGACTGCAAACCCAGAGTCTTGGGACTGTCGCTTAACGGTATTTTACCGTCACCAATCAAGTATAATATGCTGTTGATTTACTATAATTATAAAAAACATTCGAATCGAGAAAAATACTACATGCCTACAAAACTTACCGATTACAATTCTTTTAATCGTGGGTTTTTTTTTTAATTCGTCATCCTCGTCGTTCGAGGTATCTACTTTTTTAAAATTTATTTAAAATCGTTCTTCAGCAGCTTGCTCTTTGTTTGTTCAGCAATTTAGATCAAAGTGTCAAACACTAAATTTGTAACGTACGTTTTTTCGTCCAAGCCGTTGAATATAGCCCAAGTTTGTCGACGGACGAAAAAAACTCAACTCAAGTTTCTTCATGTCATTTTAAACGACAAAATCTGAGTTGTGCTTTTCTTCGTAACATGAAACAACATTTTATCATTAACTCATGGAAGCACAGCCCTTTAACTTTCTAGTTCCAATAAACAGTTAACTTATATAGTATATACACAGCAAAATTTGTGTTACAGAAATCTTAAATAACGATCAAATATATACATAAATTAATCGGTCTAAAAGAGACAACTGAAGAAAAAAGGCCTAAAAAAGAAGCGCAGTCACACGAAGAGTCTCCTAAGAATGGAGCATTGGATCTCATTTAATCAGAGAAGGTTGGGTTCTTTATTCATTTATAATACTTAAAATTTACTTCTCTGTAATAAATGTATTTTTCAATTAGTGAGATCCAATGCTCCATTCTTAGGAGACTCTTCGTGTGACTGCGCTTCTTTTTCAGGCCTTTTTTCTTCAGTTGTCACTTTAAGACTGATTAATTTGTGCTTCCATAAGTTAATGGTAAATGGTCTAAAGTACTGTAATTTTGTAAATATGGTCGATTTTATAAGCCATATAAGATAAGTAGAATATTGATGGTTTTGGAGGTCGATTTTAAGGTAAAAGATAAATTGTAAAATTGCCGCAAGTAGCACACAAATGTTTACTTTTTATTATCTATCTATAAAATTCGTTGCGGCTGGTTTATAAATATTACAATGACTTAACTGTAACTAGCAATAATTATTTTGGATCAGCGCCATCTAGCGGTCTTTGTTTTTTCGCGCAAAGTGGCCTCTAAAATTCTGAATCAGAGCTTTAGGGCTTAGAGCCATTTAATTAATAATAAACCTTGTATCTCTCTGGTGTCATTCCAAAAAAAGTAGAAAGTAATAGACAAAAACAATGAGTATACGCAAGTGTAGGTGTGGGTGTAAAAAGTACTCATGTTGTGCTCATGTGAAGACATGGCCCTAAAAAATGCAGAAATAACGAATTGTGGCATTTCGTAACGTAACGAAAAAACGAATCGCCGAGTGCAGCGTGGCAAAGTTTCGGGCTATATCTATGCAATCGTGTTATAAGTATTTGTGAATTTGTGATCCGGGACTCCGGGAGGGAGAGAGAGAGAGAGAGCAACGAACGCGCAAGTGATAGAGCGTTATCAGGCGTAATCGTCGCCTAGCCAGTAAGCTGCGATACAGCAGTAAAAAAGAGCTTACGCAGACATCTCTTTCTCTCTCAGTCTACCTATACATGTAGCTATTCAAAACCGCATGATGCGGCAGCAGCTACTTACTTTGCTGTGTAAATTGTCCACGCGTCATAAAATTCGGCTATTTCTTGAGTGAAAATTAAGGAAGAGGAAGATACCAATTGTGCAAATTAACCCACACACGACTGTTCTACTCGATTTCTCGCTCTTTCGTGATAAGCAGTATACTTATCACGAAATAGTATATATATATATATACGGGACCTTTTGCATATCTGTCAGTAAATCCGACTGCTAGTCTGCTACGTTTTGGTGTTGTGTTGTTGCCTTGTGCTGTTCTGTATGTTTTACTTACCTCTATCGGGATCGTGAGCCACCACAAGCCATGATATTTTTGATAGGCAAATTTTATTCATTAATTTGTTGATATCGTAAATAAGGCTTCGATAGTCGAGCATGTGCTTGCCCTACATCAAGATGCAGAAGAGAGCAGGATGGTCCTGCATTGCAAAAACGTTGATTACGCTGTTCGTGGTTTTTGTTATCTATCTGCCAACGGTGCACAGCTACGAGGTCATTTATGCGGTAAATTGTGGTGGTGATGACCACATTGACAGCAATGGCATTCGCTACGAAAGAGATCCTCTAATGGGTAAGGTAGGCACTGATTCAGATTATGGAAAGCAACTGCTCTCAATAGGCAGGGTTCGAGAAAAAGACTTGATACTTTATCAGACTGAAAGATATCATCATAGTACCTTTGGCTACGACATACCCATCGATGAGGATGGCGAGTATGTCATGGTCCTTAAGTTTTCAGAGGTTTATTTTAGTGCATCCGATAGGAAAGTGAGTGGCATGTTTTATCTGCTTCTGTTTATTTTACAGAATAATACAACTGCTTAATTCAATCTTAATTCTACAGGTATTTGATATTGTCCTAAATGGGGACCACACTGTTGTGACTGAGCTAGATATATTTGATAAAGTTGGACGTGGCGTTGCTCACGATGAGTATGTTGTATTTAAGGTAGTAAAAGATAAACTCATTATCAATGGAGAAGAATCCGAAATACTTGGTGGTAAAATAAGAGTTGAATTTATTAAGGTACGTTTGACTTTTAACTTTCTTAATGCATCTTTACTTTATAATTACTCAAGATATGACTTCCAGGGATATAAAGATAATCCAAAAATTAATGCAATTCTTGTGATAAAAGGAACCCTAGAAGGTAATTTATAGATGTTTGCAATACTTTTATGAGGCTTTGTTATGAAATACATGACGGTATTGTATGAATATATTTTGATACACATGTCCATGTTTGTACAGAGGTTCCAAAATTAGGACCCATACCGCAAGAACCAGAAGAGTATGGAATGCAAGATGAAGAAGAGGAGCCTGTGATTCGCACAAGGCATACCAGTGGACCTCGTTCTCCGGACCCTTATGCTGATGATTCCTCATTCTGGCTGCCTGTCTTTATTACTTTAGGTTTATTTATTCCTCTTGTGATTTGCCTTTGTAAATGGTAACAAGTACAGAAAAGAAGTCACACACAATAGGAAAGTACTTAATTTAAATACAAAAATCCTTGTGTAGTATTTTTCACACAATAAGAACATTGTTTTACTAAAATGTACTTTAATGATTGGCAAATTTTATATTTATATTTATTTTTTCAAGTGGCACGATCTTAGTGCTTTTATTCTGTGGAATGTTTTTTATTCAAGTGCAACTATTTACAATGAATTATTTTATACAGATGCTAGCCTTTGTTATGGCACTTAAATTGTGAAAAATAATTGCGTTAAAGTGGATATGATTAAATTTGTAAAGGTGTGTCTGTTGCAGATTTAAAGTTTCAAATGAGGCGATATTAATAAAGTTGTTACATTACTACGTTTATTTTTTTTTTTCCTTGCATAAAATATCAGTGAAATCTATTAAAACACTAATAGTCGATAAATTTTTATAGGACTTAATTGGATGAGTGTTTCGAATTCAGAAGAAATTATGATGGTCAGTATAATAATACTGCAAAATTACCACTCAAAGCCTAATTTTTTTCAATTTCAGAAACAATTTTTTAAATATTTTACCGAAAACAATTATTTGAGGCACTTATTTCTTATATTTACAATCGTAATTCACCATCGCTTTCAGAAAAGGTCAACAGAAAAATAATTGAATAGATTCTGATGATAGAAATTAATTTATTAAGTTAAATAAATGCATAAAAAGAAAGTTTTTTATATAATAATACTTATCCAAAGGTAAGAAACTATTTTATGTATGGTTAGCGATAAAAGTTCAAGATTTATTCAATACAATATTTTTATCATTTAAAATAAAACTATAACAAATGAAAATATTTGCTTATCCTAAAACCAAGCACACAAAGATTTACAAATTAAAAAACGATATTAGAAAAAAATTCTCATACCATATTTTTTTTTTATAAACTTTATTCTTTTATACTGTTGAATTTAATAATAGTAATTATAGTAATAATAAGGTATCACATTAACTCAAAAGGTGCTGTACATAAATAGTAGTACGTTGACGTTTTCGTTGGTTTTTATTCAACATTGAGTAGGAACAAACAAATAAATATGTTAATCATAACATGAATTATATAATGCACATACAAAAAAAGTTAATAAAAAATATTTTTAAAAAAGCTGTAAATGTCCAGTTTCATTTTTACGTCAAATAATAAGAACTTTCGCGTCAGCGTAATAAGAAAAATCGAGAGCCTGTGTGCGAGTGAATTCGTATCGCGAACATCTTTCAATCATTTCTTTTTTTTAATTTTTTTTATATTTTATTATCATCAATCAATCATTATATCATCCTTGAACGATGTCTCTTCGCTCCATCATTATTTGGAGGCCATTGACCAGCACCACATAATTATACGCATACTCAGAGCTTTGCATAAAAATACAATAATACCGCAACTTCGAACGCGTCCGATTATTTACACAACAAAAGTTTTCTCTTTAAGTTTCAATAGGTTTCACAGCACACCGAAGCAGTCAAGCAAATATGAATAATTATTATGTAATTATTAAGAATACAGGTTGATATATCTCGAAATTTTTTTTTCTTATAAATTATTTAATATATTACTTTTTTTTTGTTTTTTTTTAATCTTTTTCTTTATGTGAGTATATTAAAAAAAGTTTCCAAATTAACGTTCTTTCTCTCTCTAACTACTACTGTGAATGCGCGTCGGAGTATCTGTCCTTCGAAACTTAATACAAAAAAGGAGATGTGTCCTGATTTCTCTCAAAAGAGGAAAAACATTCATTTTTCATTACATTGATGAATAAAAAAAGTAGGAAAGGAAATTTTTTCCTCTCTCTGTTGCCATGCGTGTGCCTTAATCTTTGACGGAGATGAGCACATCGATGTTGTGCGGAGTATCTTTTGCGAAACAGATGTCATCTATTTTTACGTTCTGCACTAGTTTGTCGATTGATTCTGTATTAGTGATGCCATTTTCTACAACTTTGGTCTCTGTAGAAGTGGTAGTGCTTGTAACCGTATTACTGCTCTTCATGGTGGATGAAATCTTTGAGGTGATGGTCTTGGCGGCCACAGTCTTTGAAGTCATCTTCTTCGCAGGTAAACTTACCCCGTTAGGGGCTGGCGACTTAGGAGCCAAGGATGTGCGCTTGGTTATTGTTGTGGTTGTGTTGCTGCTAGACACCGAGGATACTCGTAATTTAGCGACGGTAGAAGTGGCGCTGCGTGCCGAAGATATTTGCTTGTTAGCTGTATCCTTGATCTGCTTGTCGCTTACAGGTGACTTGGCAGTATTTGCTCCAACCTTTGACTTTACAGAATTGAGTGTAGATGGAGGTGCAGTTTTCGGTCTCGTAGCAGCCGAAGCACCTGTTGAGCTGCTCACGGATGAACTCACTTTGGAGGAAGTCGTTTTCGTTGCTGTGACCGCCGAAGCTGGTCTAGGAGCTTTGGGTGCCGTTGCACTAATAGAGCTCGTCCGTGTGGTTGTAGAAGATTTGACTAGACCCGTTTTAGGTGCTGTGCTCGTTGTGGATGGTTTTGGAGCTGGTCTGGAGGTTTGTGCTGGCTTGGCACCAGTGGATTTGACATCACCATTTGTTGGTTTTTTGTCCGTGGGCAACGAGCCAATCTTTGAAGTAACCGAGCTCAACTTGGATCTTGCAGATAAAGCTGGTTTGCTGGCAGTAGTCGTAGTCGCTGGTTTAGTAGTCGTGGATGGTCTAGCCGGAGCGCTAGTCTTGCTTAGTGTGCTACTGGCGGTTTTCGTTGCAGCTGTTCCGGCAGCTGGTTTTGCAGTTGTCGTACGGGGTGCGACATTTGGCTTCTTGGTAGCAGCTGTGGAGGAGGTACCAGTCTTTGCTGTGACACCAGCCTTTGTTGGTGAGGTAGGTGTTGTGCTCTTGGAACCTATCTTGGAAGTGACTCCCGGCTTAGAAGTTTTCGAGGTCGTCGTCTTCGTGGTAGATTTAGCTGCGGCGATGGTGGAAGCAACGGTTGCAGTTGCAACAGCTACCACTGCGGCTGTCTCAGCAACTGGAGCTGCAGAGGAAAGGCTGCTTTCGACAGGCTCGTTTAAAACGATACTTGGCTCGTTCATGACTACTAAAGTTTCCTCAAGCTTGACATCGTCTACTGGTACTGGGGTCACATCTTCAATATCTTTCTGTTCATCCATGAGACTCTCCTTCAAAGTCTGAGGCTCTTGAGCTTGTTGCAGATTTTCTTTTTCATCCAACTTCTTAGCACTAAGTTGTTTTTCGAGGCCAGTGAATTCCTGCAAAGATTCAGAAACATCTTTATCGTTGACATCTTCTAAGCGTGGGGTCACACATTCTGAAGTAGGTTGTGCGATATGGTTCACTTCCATGTGGTCGCTAGATAAAATAGACTCGACTTTAGGTTCGGCAATTGGTTCTTGATTAAAGCCCTCAACAGATGTAGACATAAGATTCTCCTCCTCAAATTTGCTTGACATTATTTCGGGTTCTTTGATGGGAGATACCAGAACGGGTTCAATCGTTTTTTGTTCGGTAGATGAAGGGCCGAAATTCAATTCTAAGGGGTTGTGCATAACTTCATGAACATTCGTTTGCACTTCAGAGTCCCCAGATTTCAAAGTACTGTCATTGTCAAAGAGACAGCGTTCCGATTCTTCCTTGATTTCAATTTTTTCCAATCCATCAATGACTTTCTCAATATCATTGTTCAATTCAGTGTTTGGTTCGTACTTAGCTCCAAACGGATTGCTGTTGTCATAAGCTAGTAAGTCAGGTTCTGTCTTGATATTTTCCAAAGAAGAAGCATCAGGTTTAATCAAGTCATTTTCGATGTTGCGTATATTCATGAACAAATCTTTATTGTCGGATTCTCGTTGCTCGACAACAGCCGTAAAAATCTCGCTGTTCTGTTCTTGCTGGGGCACAAAGTTCTGCAAGTCCAGCTCGATATTTTCCTTGGACAGATCGTCGATTTCGGCTTCACCGTCCATCTTCTCATCCTCGAACGAGCCATTCTGCACATCTAAAAGGTCCTCATCCTTGAGTTCATGAACTTTATTCAAGTCAGGCTCCTGCTCAAAGGCTGCCTTAAAGTCACCAGGAGTCATTGAGGTGGTCATCGCATCTTTTGTAAAGTCAAACTCGCAGCGCTCCGAACCCGTGAAGGAGAAATCCATGTTAGAGTGACCGGTCTTTTGCAACTCGCTAACCAAAGAGAAGGTCGACTCGTCGCCGTACTCGGCTTTGGTCGAAGATATCTCTGAGACATCAAAGAGATTAATGGGGGTCGCGGTCAGCGGCTTTTCGTCGAGATGAGTGCCAAACAGATTAACGTTGGCGCTCTTCTGAGGTGAAGAGCTGCCATTGGAGTAGTCACTTTTCGTGCTGTCATCGAGCTCTCCTGGTCTGTGACAAATCTCTTCGTGGAATTCTTTCTCGCTAGGTATCAGGCGGTCCTTAAGGGCGCTTTGCGGCTGCTTGAGAGGTGAGCCGGAGATTAAATCATTTTTCGTGTCTTTAACATGCGGAGGAATGGCGGTGGGTACGAATTCAGCCGCGTCTGGATTTAGGTGAGACTCCATGTCTTCGTCGCTATCCAGAAGCTCCTCTTCCGACTTTTTTCGTTGCGCTATTGGCTCTTCGTGCTGAAGAGTCTGCTCGACCTGCTTTTCTGGCTGTTCTCGATCTTCCAGATGTTGGTCTAATTCAGCTGGTTGTTGATTCCGCTGTTCTTCGGGTTGTAAAGGGTCCTCGAAGTGTTGCTGTTGATCTTTGGAGTGGAGAGACTGTTCAAATGGATTCAAAGGCTGATCTTGATCAAAGGGTAAGTCTTCCTCGGGAATCGTTGTTTCGGCATCAGTCTGAAATGTTACAAAACAATGATGTAGTGTGATTGCTTGCCAACGACGAAATGTTGAAACAATTAGAGCATGAAATCAATGATGAATAAATCGGTGTATGAGATAACACTGATGAATTTGTATTCATTTTTTATAAACATATCTTTATTAATTGTGCAACTATCAAGTACTGTGATTAAAATATTTTTTACAGAATTTCTCACAGGTTTCATTCGTAATTAACTTTGTGTCTATAATTTTTAAATAGTACAAGTCTCTCTTTTAAAATCATGATAATGATGCAAGACCATATTTGTTTTTCTCATGGTGTGCAAATTTTACAAAATACATCTATATTGCACGTATCCTCGTTTCAACGTGACAAAAAAAGTGATGATCTTATAAAACGAAACGTAATAATGCACATTCATTTTTAATTGGACGGATATATTTGAATCATGCATAAAAATTAACACTTAAAAGTTTATAAATAGATTGAATTTTTTTACAGCATTATTTTTTAAATAAGTACTTGTACGATTAAGAAAATATTTGAAGAATCATGGCAATGATAATAGCAGATGAATATGAAAATGATCAACAATGATGAGATGGCCAATCAACAAATGATGAAAAGCTACACACACGTGCAAGTAATTTCAACAAACACGTAAGAAATTCGAGTAAGAAATTATTCATACGAATAAATTTTAAACAAACAAAAGTTTCATGTAACTGTCCAAGTAAATATATTTTTACGTAAAAAAAAATATTGACTCTATAAACTAATAAGTATTAATTTGTTGACAAGATGAAATATAACCTTTAGACTTACGTAAAAAATTTTACAATGCGCTCGCCTTAAGTAAGCTCCAAAAATACATAAATATTTATTTAATACTGTCGTACTTAAATTAATTGTCTTAAAAATATAAATTGGGTTTCACGTATTGTCCAAAAAATATGCTTCTGCACTTTTTTTTTACCAATATTCGTCAATGACACTTTGTGTACCGTTTAGCATTTTTCATTTGGGATTCAATCATCTGGAAAAATTGTTACGAATAAAAAAAAAAAAAAAACCGCGTAACGGTACTGGAAATATCGAAAAAAAATCCAGTAATACGATTGATTGTAAAAGTGCGAAAAAAACACTACAGAGCACGATGACGCAACAGCAGAGAAACTGCTCACGTTATACAGGTGAGAACGCATAATTATGTACATGGTAGACGTGAAAGACTTACATCAATGTCCTTGAGCTCGGTCTGGGGTTGTTTGTTGGTTTCGTTGTCGTGTAGCTCGTCGTACTCGGCAGTAACGTCCTCGGCGTCGAGCTCCTGTTCCGGGGCGCTGGCACTGGCGGCCTGCAGCTGGTTATTGTCCTCGTTATTGCTGCTGCTGCTGTCTTCCTCCTCCTCCTCCTCTTCCTCGAATGGTTTTGGACTGCAGGACTCTTTCTCCTCCTCGCACTGGTCGGACTTTTCGACGAGCGCCGGGTCCTTGTTCGGATGCTGCTGCTGAACTGCGAATTCGACGACTTCCGGCTCTGGTGTTGTTACCACAGCTGGAGCTATCTCGCCGCTGGCTCTACCGTTGCTCTCGCCCGGCCGGTAATAGTTCCACTCGCCCTCGCTGTCTTCGCTATCCTCTGCATTATCCAACTCGGGAATCAGTTCATTTTGACGATTATGCTCTGCAATCAGATAATACCAAAACGTGTACATTAGATTACGTATACCTAGTATAGGTATGAGTGCTTTGGATATTTTATGTCTCATGTTGATAAACGCAAATGTATTTGTAGCTTTTGAAAGTACAAGTGCATGCACATCTGCGTGTGGGTACATGGAAGGAGAGAATAGCGCGCGGTTTCGCAATATTCACTTCCGTCCTTGCATCAGCAGCTTGTTTTGAGCACACACTCTTTGTCTACTGCTGATTTATGTTATTCGCCCAGCAGGTTTTCCGAGGCTCTTATGAACATTAACATATATTGTGTATTGAAATGCTGAGAGTCGAATTGACGGGAGTTCCAAGTACCTATATAGTAGTGTATACAAATGCGAATGAGCTACAATGTAGACGTAATGTTTACGTTTTAAAACCCAAACTGTAAGATTATGTACCCATTGAATTTGATGTACCTATTTGTTGCGTTGGGATTATAAGAAACGAGTATTACTTTGTATTGTTAATTGTTGGGTCATTGTTTATATTATGACACACAAAATATATCTGGTTTCAGAAAAAATTTCAATCAGACCTAGACACTTTCATTGAATGAAAAAAAAAAAAAAAGCACAGAAAACACGTTTTATTTTCCTACAGAGTAAGTATTTTTTTTTTGTTTTGTTTAAATACACACTTTCGGTCCCTCAAAGCCAGCAAAGTGCAGTCGCGAATGACCCCGGGGCCAAAAGCACTTCTCGGCGCCTACGCGACAGCCTTGGCTGGAAAAAGAAAAAGGCGGGTGGTTGAGTACTGCACGAAAGTACATGTATACCCATGCGAGGGCGAGAGAAAAAAAAAAAAAAAAAAAAAAAAAAAAAAAAAAAAAAAAAAAAAAAAAAAAAA